AGATTTCATAAAGACATGGCCTTGTTCACAATCATGATTCAAGTGGAGGACAGCTGTTTATGAATGTTTTGGACATGCAAGGTCAGCAGAGGGAGCTGCTGTAATGTCCACTGACTGTCCCAAAACCTGATGAGTTGTCTATAGGCCACATTTTAAGAAATTATAGGCTTGTCCTGATACAATACAAAGACTATTCCAGATTCACTTGGCCATATTTGAAAAAAATAATCTTCACGAAGAAAGCAATCCCAGAATGCAGTTCTGTCTGAAAAAAAAAAAATAGTGGGCAAAGAAATTAGAAATTATTATTTCTCCCACTTTTTTAGTATTTGGCATGCTGGCATCAGTGCTTGTTATGCTTTGGTTTATTACTTGCTGTATATAGAGTATTTTGCCTTTTGTCAAGCAACATGCTAATGCCAGACTTGATTGTGCTGTGTGTGTGTAGACAGTAGACAGCGAGGGTTTGGAACAGAGCCAGAGTGTTTTATTACCACAGATCTGGCCTGGCCCTGGGCTTGTTTCTCTGCTCTGAATATGCTGAGTATGTGTCTGCGCTTAAGGCTGACTATTTTGACAGCTAAATTCGAGTTAAAACAGTAAAAGTGCTGCCATCTACTGTTTAGAAATATACACACATCTCAACAGTGCATACATGGCAAAAGCATTGTATTTGTGATCAGCATCTTAAAAAAAAAATATATATAAACATTCATATTGAAATACAAAAATCTTGTCTTTAAAACAAGATTGACTGAACTTCACTAGTGAAGCTTTTTATTTCTTTGAGTGACATTTTTGGTTGTCCTGTCTACCTCAATATTTTACAATGCAGAAGTAAGCTATTTTTCTGTTAATGACCGATTTATTAGCCACAGTAATGTGCAGTAAACTGTCAAACTATTTGCACTAGAAACAATGTGTTTATGATTATGTTTTTATGTTACATTAATATAATAACAAACACTAAAACAGGTAATAAAAAAAACAAACAAAAAAACTGGAATACATTTCAAATGACCGCGCCCAGTCTTATATTAATAAGAGGAAAGGAATACTAAAGTACATTCAACTGAATCAAGGCCATTCTACAGTATGAGATCCAGTGGGATTGTAAAAATGATCATATTGCTTGGCGTCAACAAGGCCTACATAAAAACCTTCAATTTTTAGGTTTTTATGCATCATTATTAAGCATGAACCCCACCAAATTTGTTTTATTTCTCATATTCCAACAGGCTTTTGCATCACTAACTTTACTTGCGTGTTGGCTCAGGGTTTCATGATGCTGGCCAAACTAAATAAGCACGAGGCTTTAGGTTTCTCTGACAGGAACCCTGAGAAGTCGATAATGAACATCATGCATAGCACATAGTCCTTTCAAAGTCTCTGCATTCTCACAGGCACATTTATCTACATGCCTGTGTGTGTGTGTGTGTGTGTGTGTGTGACCTTCAGTAACCCGTCTGCTCTCAGCTGAGTTTCCACTGGTTGGGAAGGTGTCTGTACAAAGTTTGCGTCACAGAAAGAAATAATTTCCATACTAATGAATGTCACCCTATTCAGTCTTCCAAGGCTCCGCTGACAGTGTTCAGGGTCACTCGGCCTGCTGAATCCTGAACGTTCCTGTAAATGTTACATTCGGTTCGCTGACATTATGACAAATGACAAAAGACATCATGTGGGTGAAAGGCTATCGTTTAATTGAACAAACACTCCTGTAGGTCCGGATGGGACTTGATCCGAGTTACATCACTGGACTCAGTCAGGGACGAGTATGTGCGGCGATACACAGACAAGAATGGATACATGTCACAGGCAGCTGCTGATGTCAATGCCATATAATAAATATATGTGCTTTTTCATAATTGTGAAGCCAAGCATTAAATTATGAAAAAGGAGGAAAATGTCTATTTTTATATATATTTTTATTTCATATGTACATGTTTTTTTTTCTCATCAGCAAAAGACGTCTTCACAATTCTACAAAAGTGAAAGAAAGAGTAAAATTAGTAATAAAAAATTACATATGGCATATCCGTTGAACTGCATATTATGCACCAAGTTGCTTTATCGTTAATGAAAACTTAAATAAAATACATAAAAAAACTATTTTAGCTAGTTGCCAAGGCAACATTTCGGTTTAAACTACTAAAATAACTCAAACTAAATAATACAAAATAAAAATGAATAAATCATATATAGGCATATTTAAAAAAATTAAAATGACCAAAAAATGTAAACTGTGAAACTGAAGTGAAACTATACTAATAAAATCTAATTAAACATATTAACAAAAACTGTAATAGTATATTAATGATTTTAAACACTGCTTTAAGAAATTAAAATGCTTAATGAACACATTACTTTTATAATTATTAATAATATAATTAACTATTTACACCCTTAACCACTGTAAAATGGGAGGGAAAAAAAAATATATAGATAAAAATGCCCGAACAAATAAATAAAACTAAACTGACACCAGAAGCTATAAAAATAAAATCTAATTAAAATATCAGTAATACTAAAATAACACTGCTTTAAACCATTAAAATGGTTAAAAACTACGTTCCTTGGCAGAATATGTGTTTATTCTTCTTCTTATTAATAATGAAATTAACTGTTTATTAAATTCACCATTTTAAAATGGGAGAAAAATATAAAATAATTATAAATTATAAAAAATTAAGACACTACAGTCACTACACATTTGTTCTACAAATGTGTAAATAAAAAATAAATAATATTTTAAACACTGCTTTAAGAAATTAAAATGCTTAATGAACACATTACTTTTATAATTATTAATAATATAATTAACTATTTACACCCTTAACCACTGTAAAATGGGAGGGAAAAAAAATATATAGATAAAAATGCCCGAACAAATAAATAAAACTAAACTGACACCAGAAGCTATAAAAATAAAATCTAATTAAAATATCAGTAATACTAAAATAACACTGCTTTAAACCATTAAAATGGTTAAAAAACTACGTTCCTTGGCAGAATATGTGTTTATTCTTCTTCTTATTAATAATGAAATTAACTGTTTATTAAATTCACCATTTTAAAATGGGAGAAAAATATAAAATAATTATAAATGATAAAAAATTAAGACACTACAGTCACTACACATTTGTTCTACAAATGTGTAAATAAAAAATAAATAAATTTTTTTTACCAACAAACAGGATCTCAACTTTCTGCATTAATATAGGATTCAACTGATACTAGGTTGTTGCATGCATGCTTTATAATAGCTTTGAAGTGGCTTATCAGAGCTGATGTTGGAGCTGGAACATTCTGGAATGAGTTCTCACCTTTTGAGAGGGATCCCACATTTTCTGTGCCTTATTTGGGACTAGAGCGCAGCATGCTGGCATCAGTGCTTGTTATGCTTTGGTTTATTACTTGCTGTATATAGAGTATTTTGCCTTTTGTCAAGCAACATGCTAATGCCAGACTTGATTGTGCTGTGTGTGTGTAGACAGTAGACAGCGAGGGTTTGGAACAGAGCCAGAGTGTTTTATTACCACAGATCTGGCCTGGCCCTGGGCTTGTTTCTCTGCTCTGAATATGCTGAGTATGTGTCTGCGCTTAAGGCTGACTATTTTGACAGCTAAATTCGAGTTAAAAACAGTAAAAGTGCTGCCATCTACTGTTTAGAAATATACACACATCTCAACAGTGCATACATGGCAAAAGCATTGTATTTGTGATCAGCATCTTAAAAAAATATATATATAAACATTCATATTGAAATACAAAAATCTTGTCTTTAAAACAAGATTGACTGAACTTCACTAGTGAAGCTTTTTATTTCTTTGAGTGACATTTTTGGTTGTCCTGTCTACCTCAATATTTTACAATGCAGAAGTAAGCTATTTTTCTGTTAATGACCGATTTATTAGCCACAGTAATGTGCAGTAAACTGTCAAACTATTTGCACTAGAAACAATGTGTTTATGATTATGTTTTTATGTTACATTAATATAATAACAAACACTAAAACAGGTAATAAAAAAAACAAACAAAAAAACTGGAATACATTTCAAATGACCGCGCCCAGTCTTATATTAATAAGAGGAAAGGAATACTAAAGTACATTCAACTGAATCAAGGCCATTCTACAGTATGAGATCCAGTGGGATTGTAAAAATGATCATATTGCTTGGCGTCAACAAGGCCTACATAAAAACCTTAAATTTTTAGGTTTTTATGCATCATTATTAAGCATGAACCCCACCAAATTTGTTTTATTTCTCATATTCCAACAGGCTTTTGCATCACTAACTTTACTTGCGTGTTGGCTCAGGGTTTCATGATGCTGGCCAAACTAAATAAGCACGAGGCTTTAGGTTTCTCTGACAGGAACCCTGAGAAGTCGATAATGAACATCATGCATAGCACATAGTCCTTTCAAAGTCTCTGCATTCTCACAGGCACATTTATCTTCATGCCTGTGTGTGTGTGTGTGTGTGTGTGTGTGTGTCCTTCAGTAACCCGTCTGCTCTCAGCTGAGTTTCCACTGGTTGGGAAGGTGTCTGTACAAAGTTTGCGTCACAGAAAGAAATAATTTCCATACTAATGAATGTCACCCTATTCAGTCTTCCAAGGCTCCGCTGACAGTGTTCAGGGTCACTCGGCCTGCTGAATCCTGAACGTTCCTGTAAATGTTACATTCGGTTCGCTGACATTATGACAAATGACAAAAGACATCATGTGGGTGAAAGGCTATCGTTTAATTGAACAAACACTCCTGTAGGTCCGGATGGGACTTGATCCGAGTTACATCACTGGACTCAGTCAGGGACGAGTATGTGCGGCGATACACAGACAAGAATGGATACATGTCACAGGCAGCTGCTGATGTCAATGCCATATAATAAATATATGTGCTTTTTCATAATTGTGAGGCCAAGCATTAAATTATGAAAAAGGAGGAAAATGTCTATTTTTATATATATTTTTATTTCATATGTACATGTTTTTTTTTCTCATCAGCAAAAGACGTCTTCACAATTCTACAAAAGTGAAAGAAAGAGTAAAATTAGTAATAAAAAATTACATATGGCATATCCGTTGAACTGCATATTATGCACCAAGTTGCTTTATCGTTAATGAAAACTTAAATAAAATACATAAAAAAACTATTTTAGCTAGTTGCCAAGGCAACATTTCGGTTTAAACTACTAAAATAACTCAAACTAAATAATACAAAATAAAAATGAATAAATCATATATAGGCATATTTAAAAAAATTAAAATGACCAAAAAATGTAAACTGTGAAACTGAAGTGAAACTATACTAATAAAATCTAATTAAACATATTAACAAAAACTGTAATAGTATATTAATGATTTTAAACACTGCTTTAAGAAATTAAAATGCTTAATGAACACATTACTTTTAAATAATATAATAATATAATTAACTATTTACACCCTTAACCACTGTAAAATGGGAGGGAAAAAAAATATATAGATAAAAATAAATAAATAAATAAATAAAACTAAACTGACACCAGAAGCTATAAAAATAAAATCTAATTAAAATATCAGTAATACTAAAATAACACTGCTTTAAACCATTAAAATGGTTAAAAACTACGTTCCTTGGCAGAATATGTGTTTATTCTTCTTCTTATTAATAATGAAATTAACTGTTTATTAAATTCACCATTTTAAAATGGGAGAAAAATATAAAATAATTATAAATTATAAAAAATTAAGACACTACAGTCACTACACATTTGTTCTACAAATGTGTAAATAAAAAATAAATAATTTTTTTTTACCAACAAACAGGATCTCAACTTTCTGCATTAATATAGGATTCAACTGATACTAGGTTGTTGCATGCATGCTTTATAATAGCTTTGAAGTGGCTTATCAGAGCTGATGTTGGAGCTGGAACATTCTGGAATGAGTTCTCACCTTTTGAGAGGGATCCCACATTTTCTGTGCCTTATTTGGGACTAGAGCGCATGCAGAGAGGAAGAACAAGGAACAGGTGTCAGTCGGCCTGAAATAGTTCTAACAATCCAAGCAACATGTTTTACTGTTTTCTGTGGTGAGATCTAGCAGTAGATGTCTGAGGACTCATCAGGGTCTAACGGTGCACAGTCAGGCGGATGTAATTTAGTCTCTCTGCTGGTACACGTATAGAGTCATAACGAGTTTAATTTATGGGGAATTGCCACTCGGACACTTCCAGCAGCAGGGGCCGTAATCTCCAAGTTTAGTGCCCCCCATGTAAGGCCAGGCTCGGAGGGGAAGACAGATGTCTTGTCAGGACCCAAATAGATAGAGAACCAAATCTCTTTTTGGCAATCCAAAGCTCCTTTTCCCAAGCAAAAACTCAAAACTGTTCTTTTGTGTTACATTTTTTGTGACAAACATGATAAACATGTGATAAATATTTACATTTAGTAATTTAGCAGATGCTTTTATCCAAAGCGACTTACAAATGAGGACAATAAAAGCAGTCAAAACTAACAAAAGAGCAACAATATATAAGTGCAAATGACAAGACTCGGTTAGCCTAACGCAGTACACGTAGCAAGGTATGATTTAGAGGAGAAAATATACTCAAGTTAAAGTATTGGTATTTTGTTAAGTATAATGTTTTGTTAAATATAATTTTATTATTATTATGTTTCAGTACCAAAGTCTACATTTGTGTCAAAAGTAAAAAATTCAACAATAAAAATTCAACATACAATTTAAACGTCTTATTGTACAAAATCAACTATATGAAATTTTCCATTTATATATTTGACTGAAAAATAAAAATAGAGAGGGTATTGTTAAATATTTACTAATGCCAAAAACATATTTCAGTGAGAAAAAAAAGTTTTCAAGCAAAGTTAGGGCCTTTGTAGGCCTAAATGAAATACTGAGTGAAATATATCATTTTTGCTTTGGAAATGCATAAAGAGTTCAAAAGTCTCACCAAGGCTGTATTTAATTGCTTAAAAAATACAGTAAAATCAGTAATATTATGAAATATTATTATAATTTAAAATAACTGTTTTCTTTTGTAATCTATTTTAAAATGTAATTTATTCCTGTGATCAAATCTGTAATTTCAGCATCATTACTCCAGTCCTCAGCGTCACATGATCCTTCAGAAATCATTCTAATATGCTGATTTGCTGCTCAAGAAACAGTTGTGCTGGTTCATAAAAATATGTGATGTATTTCAGGATTCTTATATGAACAGAACATTTAAAAGAACAGCATTTAATTGAAATTGAAATGTTTGTAACATCATAAATGTCTTTGTCACTTGCAATCAATGTAATGCATCCTTACTGAATAAAAAAAAAAACCTTACTGACCACAAACTTTTGAACAGCAGTGTCATTCTTAAGTACAGCAATGAAGTCAAATTACTCTGGAGCTTTACACTTCTGAACACATCTAAAAATAGAGACTGACCTGTATGAATGTGGGTGTTGAACTTATTTCTTATCAGCATCAGCAATCACAGGCTCTGTTGGGAACGAAAGCAAGAATGCAGTTCAGTCCACTGGCTTTCAAAACATTACGTGTGGGATAAATGTCCGTAAAGTTATCACCCGTATAAATACGCATGTTAACCATCCAGCGACACTCCAGTTTTATCTCAGACATGTGCAAACTCTTGTTCTGTCTGACATGCTCATCTTCTCGGCTTTCAAAAGGCTGTAAATAATTTTACAATAACAATAAATCTGTCCGACCCAGTGAAGACACATGTGGAGTGATAACTTGACAAACATAAGAACAGGTCCCGGATTGGGTTAGGCATTTGTATTAATAACTTGTTGCATCTTTCCCAAAAAGACTCACGGCTGTTTTAGATCAAAAGGGTTCTTCTACTAAATACTGAGCAAAGGGTCTGAATACTTAGGACCATGTGATATTTCAGTTTTTCTTTTTTAATAAATCTGCAAAAATGTCAACAATTCTGTGTTTTTCTGTCAATATGGGGTGCTGTGTGTACATTAATGAGGAAACAAAATTAACTTAAATGATTTTAGCAAATGGCTGCAATATAACAAAGAGTGAAAAATTTAAGGGGGTCTGAATACTTTCCGTACCCACTGTAGCTTAGGTTGGATTACACTGATATTACATGTCAATGATATTGATAAGGCGGCATGGGAATGACTGCAATCTGTTTATTACACACTGAAGATCATCTGACTATCATTACAGTATCATCTGATAGACCTAGACATCTATTTTACATATTTATCTTAAGCTAGTTGCCTTTCAATGCTAAATATAAACTCCATATGTCTGGAATCATTTGTTTTTATCATTAAAGTGTTTTATATCATTCCATGAATCAACATGATTTGATTTTCTCTTTAAAATACAGAGCTTCTTTTCAGCACCAGCAAAGTGTTCTTGATTTGGTTCATGAATGTATCAGTCAAACACGTCTGCATGATGTTGAATCACTCTAAATGTGGCCTTGACTAAATCTACAGAGCTGATTTAAATGTACATTCTCAGTATTTTGCACATAACCCAATATAATATGCAATCCTTTTGGATATTTAAATGGACCGTAATTCAATTCAGTCGTTTTAGACCAATGAAATGCCACAACTTTTCCAGTCATTCATGATTACGTGCAGAAAATGATTTCACAGCCACTGCACTTCCATGAAATATTATGGAGCTGAGCATAATTAGATAATGCGTTTAGTCTCTATAGACATTTTCATGACTTTTCTGGGCTTTGAAATCACAGTCAGACGATTTCCATGGCCATGAAAAAGAAAAACTCACTAAGGACAGAAAACCCTGTTTTAGTTGGTTTATAATGTTGTCAATCAAGACTGAGACTACTCATCATGACTGGAAATCCTTTTTTGCACGTTCCAAACTGTATCACTGGCACCTTAAAAACACACGTGTGTTAGGTCTACGACAGTCACTTACGTTTAACCTCCAGTTTGCAGGTAACCAAGGCCTCTCCGTGCGGGTTCCTGGCCCTGCAGGCGTATACGCCACCGTCAAAGTTGCCGGGCTTGCGGATCTCTAGGGAGCAGATGCCCTGGTTGTTAATTTGCCTGAACTTGGGGTCGTCACCAATAATCATCTGATTCTTCATCCACTCGATCTTGGGCTGCAAAGAAGTCAGAAAACAATAAAAATGTGACATTTGCAGTCTATAATTGGTAAAAAGATGAACAAAGACACTGGAAAGATCTATTTCACAATTGTTTTTTTTCACACAACGGCCAATGTCACACTCTTTATTGGAAGTGATGTTCTTTTGATTATTAAAATATTCTTCACCATAAGAAAGAATGTTGTTTTAAGAACTGTTCACTGAAAGGTTCTTTAGGGAACCAAAAATGGTTCTTTTACTATGGCATCACTGCAAAAAACAAAACAAAACAAAAAAACGCTTTTGGAACATTTTCACATTTTTTATGAGTGGAAGAGAAATGAGAACAATTTTGTTTTGGTGGCTTAGGCTAATATGGAAATATTTCATATATGTACTGATAATAAAAACTAGGCATCCCAGATAAACCGCTAATGGTACTCTTTCCATTGAGCTAAAAGTTACACAACAATATAAGGCTATTTCACACTCAGTTTTTGGGATTGACAACCGCATTTTCTTTACAGGTGTGAGTCTCGAAATGTCCCGTTCACACAGCAGCTTACAGTTCTGTTTAGAATACTGTCTGTATGAACGTGCAACGGGAGTCAAGCCTGTATTCCTTACTAGTAACCATAGCGACAGTGACCAAAGTAAAATCAAAGATGGTGACCTGCATAAAACTGAAAGTCTTATCACTTTCTGACACGACAAGAGAGAAAGAGATCTTTCGTCAAATCTTCATCAACCGACAGCAGCTTTTATATTTGGGTGGAGAGTGGAGCATTCGACTCGCGCGCAGAGCACAAAACTGATGGGAGTGGCTCCAGTGGAAAACTGATGGAATCTAAAACGTTCAGATGACACGCAGCTCATTTCTCCGTCACTGTAAGTTACCGAAATGAATCAACATGATTTGATTTTCTCTTTAAAATACAGAGCTTCTTTTCAGCACCAGCAAAGTGTTCTTGATTTGGTTCATGAATGTATCAGTCAAACACGTCTGCATGATGTTGAATCACTCTAAATGTGGCCTTGACTAAATCTACAGAGCTGATTTAAATGTACATTCTCAGTATTTTGCACATAACCCAATATAATATGCAATCCTTTTGGATATTTAAATGGACCGTAATTCAATTCAGTCGTTTTAGACCAATGAAATGCCACAACTTTTCCAGTCATTCATGATTACGTGCAGAAAATGATTTCACAGCCACTGCACTTCCATGAAATATTATGGAGCTGAGCATAATTAGATAATGCGTTTAGTCTCTATAGACATTTTCATGACTTTTCTGGGCTTTGAAATCACAGTCAGAAGATTTCCATGGCCATGAAAAAGAAAAACTCACTAAGGACAGAAAACCCTGTTTTAGTTGGTTTATAATGTTGTCAATCAAGACTGAGACTACTCATCATGACTGGAAATCCTTTTTTGCACGTTCCAAACTGTATCACTGGCACCTTAAAAACACACGTGTGTTAGGTCTACGACAGTCACTTACGTTTAACCTCCAGTTTGCAGGTAACCAAGGCCTCTCCGTGCGGGTTCCTGGCCCTGCAGGCGTATACGCCACCGTCAAAGTTGCCGGGCTTGCGGATCTCTAGGGAGCAGATGCCCTGGTTGTTAATTTGCCTGAACTTGGGGTCGTCACCAATAATCATCTGATTCTTCATCCACTCGATCTTGGGCTGCAAAGAAGTCAGAAAACAATAAAAATGTGACATTTGCAGTCTATAATTGGTAAAAAGATGAACAAAGACACTGGAAAGATCTATTTCACAATTGTTTTTTTTTCACACAACGGCCAATGTCACACTCTTTATTGGAAGTGATGTTCTTTTGATTATTAAAATATTCTTCACCATAAGAAAGAATGTTGTTTTAAGAACTGTTCACTGAAAGGTTCTTTAGGGAACCAAAAATGGTTCTTTTACTATGGCATCACTGCAAAAAACAAAACAAAACAAAAAAACGCTTTTGGAACATTTTCACATTTTTTATGAGTGGAAGAGAAATGAGAACAATTTTGTTTTGGTGGCTTAGGCTAATATGGAAATATTTCATATATGTACTGATAATAAAAACTAGGCATCCCAGATAAACCGCTAATGGTACTCTTTCCATTGAGCTAAAAGTTACACAACAATATAAGGCTATTTCACACTCAGTTTTTGGGATTGACAACCGCATTTTCTTTACAGGTGTGAGTCTCGAAATGTCCCGTTCACACAGCAGCTTACAGTTCTGTTTAGAATACTGTCTGTATGAACGTGCAACGGGAGTCAAGCCTGTATTCCTTACTAGTAACCATAGCGACAGTGACCAAAGTAAAATCAAAGATGGTGACCTGCATAAAACTGAAAGTCTTTTCACTTTCTGACACGACAAGAGAGAAAGAGATCTTTCGTCAAATCTTCATCAACCGACAGCAGCTTTTATATTTGGGTGGAGAGTGGAGCATTTGACTCGCGCGCAGAGCACAAAACTGATGGGAGCGGCTCCAGTGGAAAACTGATGGAATCTAAAACGTTCAGATGACACGCAGCTCATTTCTCCGTCACTGTAAGTTACCGAAAGCACACATGAAAACACGTAACACACAGTAGACGCACGTTTGTGCGGCAGAGCAGCTCTCTCTCGCACTGTATGACGTGACAGACAACTAGTTGTCCAGTCCTGTTCCGTTCACACAGCGCGTGCGTTCTGAGAATGCGGTTGTGAGTCCTGAAAATTTACAGGTGTGAGTTCGGTTACAGAATGCGGTTGTCACACCCGTAAATAACCGAACTGTGTGTGAATGTAACCGTATTCTCAAATACAGGACTGACAACCGTATTCTGCTGCTGTGTGAACGTGGCCTAACATGCATCACGTCACATTTCCTTATAAAGTTAGCAGCCACTGGGTTTTTATTCACCCACCAAAGCCATTTTTACATGCATTTGGCACTTGGAGAGTGTTCATTTTGGACACTTTCATTCGTGAGTCTGTCTGATCCCAGTGTCACGTATTCTCAAATACAGGACTGACAACCGTATTCTGCTGCTGTGTGAACGTGGCCTAACATGCATTACGTCACATTTCCTTATAAAGTTAGCAGCCACTGGGTTTTTATTCACCCACCAAAGCCATTTTTACATGCATTTGGCACTTGGAGAGTGTTCATTTTGGACACTTTCATTCGTGAGTCTGTCTGATCCCAGTGTCGTGGCCTCCACATATCGGTGTTTGGAAGCTCACCCCATCATAGTGATGTAGGAATCCCACTTATCTGTCACTCGTCTAGTTATCTTCCCCTCTAGGAGCTGCACTATCTCTGGTGGCATGTTAGTGGCGGATTCCTACACTGAACTGTTGAACAGCTCTTGATGGATTAAGTGTTGATTTTGCGACAGACTTCATTACAAAATACCCATCAGCACCATCTTTACAATAATGTAACACATTACTGAATTGCATGAGGCTGGACTGCTCGTAAAGATTCAGATGACGTTTACACCTGAAGTGATTCAGGTGATCTGATTCAAAGTCCATCGGATGTTCTGCAATAAGATCTCTCAAACAAACCACATTCAGATGTAGTCAGAAATGCATGTGACCACATTGCATTTGTCGTGTAAACACTAATTACCATTAAACAGTGCACTAAAACAAGAGTATTAAACTTTATTATTTGCATGCAGATTAAAAACTGATTGTAAAAATGCATACATACATAATGCAGCACATGAGCATGTGCATTGAAGTTCAATTAAATAAAATAACTACAAGCCTTCAGTTTTAAAAATGTTTTTCTTGGTTATGTGAATGTTAGAAAAGACATTAAGGGAACGTTCCATTTTAGAATTTTGCAAACATGAGAATGTTACTTTCGAATGTTCTTTAAACCATTTGAAACTAACAAGTAGGAACATTAGTAGGAAGAAAAACATTTTAAAAACATCCCATAAACAATGTATAAATAATGTTTTTGTGCTAATGTTTTGAGAATGTTATTAAAAAGTCCAGATAAATCTGAATGAACGCTCTATTAATGTTACTGGAACAATGTTTGTTCATAACCTTGTCAGAACATTCTGAAAACTATTTCCAGCACACTTGTTCTGCTTATGTCCCATGTACCTTAGGGAATCCCCTAACGGAGCAAAGCAGCTTGGTGTTATAGCCAACAGTAGTGCTGCGGTTTGCCAGGGGGGTGGTGAATTTGGGTGCCTCGCTGAAGTCGTGTTCCTTGTACTCTGGAGGCTTGTAGTCAATACCTATAAAAACACATCATGAAGATCTGTGAAGTAAGAATAACAAGAATAGCCACTGGATGCCTGAAAAACACTGCAAAACTTTTGCAAGACTTGTGAGGACTTGCATGTAAATATTTGTAAATTGAATGCAAGTCACATTGGAAAAAAGCATCTGCCAAATGCATAAATGTCAAAAGACAAGACCAGGGTTACTATTCTTAATTAAAAATAAAACTACTAAAACATTTTTGTTAATTAAAATAAAGCTGAATTAAAATAGAATTGTTTGATGAAAAACTTCAAACGAAAATGTTGCCTTTCTAACTGGATCAACTAAAAACTGAACTAAAATGAAATAAATGAAACAAAAATAAAAAAAAGCACATAACAAAATTACAAAAAATATTTGTAATTATAATTATAATCAAAATTTCAAATGAAAATATACTATCTATATGTTAGTATCATTTCAAAATATTAATAAAAAATATAATAGTACTTAAATAATACTAAAAATATATGTGTTTGTGTGTGTGTGTGTGTATATATAAATGAGAAATACAATTCAACTGTCAAATACACAAAACGCAGAAAAGCTGGTTCACCTGTCTTCTGGATGGTGGCTGAGGTCTTTGTAGCAGTGGCTTCTTCACTGATTCCACACTTGTTCTCAGTGAAGACCCTGAAGATGTAGGTGTTACCCATGATCAGGTCTGAAACAGTGGCATTCATTCTGTGATAATGCTCCAGTACTGTGAACCAGTCCTGTGGAGAGACAGCAGCACAGGTCCATCTACTCCAGACACGACTACTGACAGTGTACAACTGAGCTAATTAGATCATTTGGCTGACTAGTGCCACTGAAAGGAACGGCATGAATAAACATAGTTTTCAAAACAGTTTTATGAACACGCCACAGTCTGCCATTGATACAATAAACACAATCCGGCCCCACTGGTCAAAGCAGTGTTGATGTGGAGGACTAGATGGGTCGGTCAAAAAACTTAAAATGGGAGAAATTTAAACTATGAATGGCACAATTATAGCTGTCTCTGAATGTTGAGCTTGGATAGTAAAAAGTATTGTAACACCAAGAAACATTGTTGACACAGAGCACTTTTTCCATTCTGATGCGCTACTTTTCCATTGTTTTTCTATGTAAACATGCCACTGCACTCACGTTTTGTGTCTTTCTCAGCATCTCACACATGAGCGCCATGCTGTTAGGATGCCGTGTCAAGATAAAAGAATTTCAACTTTTACACGCAACGCCGCTCATCAATGTCAGTGCCAAAACTGTGGACCAATCAGAAGACCCAGGAGGCGGGGCAAGCGGTGCAAGCATCCAAACAAACATTGCACTGTCTATTGCAATGTTACCATGTTCAAAAAAAATCACAGTAATACCATGTTATTTTTTCATAAACAAAATTTTTTAAAGAGCTTCTACCCCTGTTTTTTTGTCAGCCTTCTGGATGCTGTATCCAGTGATTGCTGTATTTCCATTATCCTTGGGTTCGGTCCATTCCAGAGCAACATTGAAACCCCAGGAGTCCACGATCTTGACGCTGGCTGGAGGTCCAGCCAACTCTGGTGAACAGGTCAACAAAGTAAATTGTAAAAAAAAAAAAAAAAAAAAACTAACCTAAACCGTGGTCCACGGTGTGTATGAACACTTACCAACAATCTGCAGAGTCAACTGGGCTTTGTCCTCAAAGCTGTCCACTTTCACACACATCTCATACACGCCGGAGTCGGCTCTCTCGGCGGCACGGATGAAGAAGATGCTGTCCTTGTCGCTGTTGCGGATGTTCACCTTTTTAGTATCCAGAGGCTGGTCATCCTTTGTCCATGACACAACAGGTTGCGGTTTGCCCTGCAGGTAAGAAAATAAGACAGGTTAGCTGCAAATTATTTGACAAAATCAACTTTTACCAGATATATTAATTGAAAACAGAGTTAGAATGGACTGATTGGTCTTCTTCTTCTTGCATTTTTTTCCTTTCCTTGAGACAAAGAAGTTTAAATTATTGTATTCAATGTGCACTTAAAATATGTTCAAATTTTAAAAGTATATTTTAAACTTGTACTTGCAGATTATGCAGTATTAATGAAATAAAAGTCTACTTAATTATACTTAGAGAAAACATTCCTCACTGTTTCCTAACACAAGTTCTGAGAACGTTCCTTGTTAGCTAGGATAGCACTATTTATTGAACCAGAAAACTGACTTGCTAACCTTAACGTGACCCTGGCTTCCAGAGCGCAAACTAACTGTAATTTCACCCTGAGCTGCAGTCAGCCTGTTTCATCTTGTGCTGGTTAAACAGTCTGCAGCAAAAAACTACCAAAATCTTTTGCAAAACCATATGCAGATGCACTGAAGTTAAACACAGAAGGAAACAGAAGACTAAAAACATTATGAGGAGTCAATTACGCTAATACACCCTAAGCTAGCCAACATGCTAATGGTGGCTCTGTTGGACTCATCACGGCTTAAAATAGATCAGTCCTATTACACACCTGTCACTAATAACTTATGATGGAGAGTTTTAGTTACATTAAAACTGCTGAATTACAAATAATTCCAAAGGCTGCATCTTAGAGTCGCAGTTTAGCGTTGATTTCTAATGGACGCTAGTCCATGCAACAAAATATGACATCTTTTTTTAGTACATGAATGGAATTAAAAAGCTTTTGCATTTCAGTCTGCATTTTAATCTGCAATACAATGCATATAAAAAGGTGAATTGGTATCTGGAAATATCCTTGAAGCATTAGCCAGATGCTAACTCTTACAAGCTACAGCATGCCTCTAAATAAACGTAGCATCTCTAGCGAGCTAAAAAGTCTCCTGGGGTAACCTTAGATGCTACTTGACTTCTTATGCAGTGCGAGAACATTTGGGAAATGTATCCCACCCTCCGACTCGACCCATTCACACTTGTCGCCATCGCTCTTAAAGGAAGTAGCTTGACACTGGTCAAGGCGGCTAGCTGTCAATGGCTTTGAAGCCATGTAAAACCTTCTCCATGTAATCTTTGTTAATGCATAGCACTTAGCAACTAACTATTTTCCAAGGATATGCAACAGAGGTTTTTCTCATTGGAAAAGACAATTCATGACATGCCTCAGTGCATTGGAGGGAATGTAGAAAGAAGACCTTTAATCGGAGATCTGCCAAACTTTCCCTCCCCCTCTTTTGCGTAGACCAGATTCAAATTACATTCCAATCCCGCTTGACTTTCCATTCTACATTTATGATTTCTTTCTTTAGACGCCGGACACCCTTGGAGTATGTAAAGTGACTGCAAGCATTGGTGCACGAAAACTAGTTTACATAACGGCTGCGATAATGTGGCGAATGTGACATACTTGGACCTTTGATGAAGACGATGAAGCCTACTTTAAAAAAATTATTTTTTATTATTATCAGTATTTATTTTTTATGTATTTTTATTTATTTTAATAATTTCCTTTTTTATTTGTGTGTGTGCGTATGTACACAGTGAGTGTTTAAGTGGTTATACATGTGTCATAAATTAAAAAAAATTATAGTCAACATGGACATTTATTGGTGAAAGGTCAAGGGATTAGTACATTTAATTTGTACTGAAAAAACAATATAAAAACTTTGAGAAAAAAGCACTACTAAAAATCTGTCTAAAGTCATGCAACAACAAAGATTTCTTTCTAGCAAAAATATTTCTTTCTGGTGTTTTTAACACTGCTGTCTGATCTGAGAGGGTTTGTAAGGCAACACCTCTTCGCACTAAAGCCAGACGCTTGTCAGGTAGATTTATTTTTTCACAACTGGCAACCTCTCAGAGCCAATTAGGGGGCCCTGTAACACAGCATGAGCGGTAGGGTTAACGTGGTTCCAACTTCACCTCTCGAGATAGATAGCTCTAAGGTCTGGGATACTTGAGACCCGAGAACTGGCCCCCGATCTTTAGAGCAGCAATGGCTGGGTAACTCTATGTTCCAACATTTACAGTTATTATGTCTAAGGAAGACTGGCTTTGGATGCAGGAGGAAGGAAAATTATGAAACTTTTCAGCATGGCTCATGAATATTAAATGAATGACACCACGGTCATTTGGCAGCTATATCAGTAATGCATAAATCTTGTGGTTTTCTGCTTGGTCATTGTTGTTTTATGTCCCTGGTTGCACTTTTTTTTCTGTGGCCAAGCAAAGGAAACTCAACATGGCATGATTATTTATGAAAAAGGCAGGGGGAACTTAAAGCTACAGTATCTGGGAAGTAAAATGTTGACTTACCCACAACCTCTCTGACCAGGACAGCGTCGGCCAGAGTGGCAGGAGGGCTGCGGCCGCCAGGGTTTACGGCCACCACCCTGATGTTCAGGCGGTCACCGGCGGTCTGGTTCTTAATGATGTAACGGCAGGACACAGTCAGCTCCTCGTTAGCGACTTTCCAGTCACCAGCTTGGATGGAAAAATTAAAAATGAGATGCAAGATCATCCAATATGATTTACATCCCAATAACTATAATAAAATTGATTGTTGATTAATTGTTGAGCTTTTTGAAAGGCAAAATTTTTATAATAATACTTAATTATAGTAATACTTTTAATAGTTTGATTTAATATATATATATATATATATATATATATATATATATTTTTGATAGCTTGATAGCTGCAAGAGAGAAAAAAAGATTATTCTTAATTTACCAATAAAATGCTTTATATTTCATTTGGAATATGATAGATTCTTATTAAAAATCACATTAATCAATTAATCATAAATTATATATAGCATATTAATGTTGGTAAGATAAAATCAAGCTACTGAGGTCACTGGGTTCAGGCATTTTCTTCAGTGTTGCATCATATTGTCAAAAGTTTGTTCTCAGAAATCTGAGAGAGAAGCCCTTCAAAACATAAGCAATCTAATAAGGCGAAAATGAACAAGCTAATGCACAAATCCTCAAAACTTAATTGAGAATGTTGCGTAATATAACAGACGTCCCTCTGCTGATGCTTTTGAGACACAAAGAGGGTCAAACAGATGGCTGGGATTTCTTAAGAAGGGGAAGCTATTACCTGACTGATTATCTGCGAGCAATACTCGCTCTCAACAGCATACTACTGACTCAGCGGAAACGCTAGTGGTCATGTGGATTGCCTGTCGGGGGTGATTTGATTTCCGTTTTCCTCAGATAGCCCTCGTTTATCACGGCCTGTCTCATAAAGCAATCGGTGAAAGCTCATGATGAAGTCCACCTTGAGGCAAAGTTGGGGAAAACTCGGTTATACTTACACGCTAATGCTCAAAGAAACACACACACATATTTCTCACAGTGTAATATGTTTCGTCCTCTCTACCTTGACAAACAAACTTAGACTCAGTGTTGAAAAATGACCCTGCGCTACATTTCCCAGAGAACACGAGCAGCTGTATAAGAACTATATGATTAATGAGTCGATGTGCTGCACATTTCATTCAGCTTGTGCGAGAACATCTGCACAACTGTTGATGTAAAGTCTGTCATGGACTTTACTGCGGAGCAACCGCTGCCTGTTTTATTCAACAACTCCATCTGCTAACTAAAATGTACTTTTGCAATTTCAACCAGAAATATGTTAAAATTATAATTGTTGAAATATTTTGAGAGTGCAAATGGAACTGTGACTGTTTGTGTTTCTCATAAAAGTATGAACAAATCTTTGTTTGAAACTAAAATCAATAGAAACCATCATAAATATTCTTAATGGTTTCCACTACAAAACCCATTACAACCATTACAAACCATCAGCTATTAACCATCAAATCCATTAAAAAATGGTTTCCTGTAGTGTGTTTTGGGACACATTCCATTAGGATTTATTGGTTTTAACAAGCCACCAATAGAAGGTGACCAGTTACCAGTAGAGACTCACAGGGTCCATTACAGTTTGCATTAAAACCATTACAAATTATGTGATGGTTTCTGTTGTTTTTTTTCTTCAGCAGGGTTTATATCTAACATGCTATTAACACGTTTTAGCACATTGTTAACGTGTTGCTAGCAGTATTTACCACATTACTAACGTGACTTACAAGTTTCTAGCATATTTTATCATGTTGCTAACCTGTTTAACACGGCATGATTAGCATGTTGATGGCATGTTTTAAAGATTGTTAACATGATTAGCATGTTTCTTAGCACGATTAACGCGTTGTTAACATGTTGCTAACACAATTAGTATGTTGTTAACATGTTGCTAACGCGATTAGCGTGTTGTTAGCAATTCAGGTATGCCTAATCAGATATTATCTTACTGTAGGGAGATGAGATGGTCTGAACTGTGTTCCGATCGATATGATCCCTACACAGTGTTCATTGCTCCCTACTCCCTGAGCAGGGGAAATCCGTTGAAGTTTACTTCACTTCGGAACATGGCTGGAATTGGGAACCGCTGATGTAGCCTATTGTAGTAATAATGTTGTCTCTGGTATTCTGGTCTGTCAGCGTATATGCGTTCAGGAGCGTGGCTTTGGACGGCGATTGGAGGGAGGGTGGGATGTTCGCTTTCAGTGCTATCAGGCTAAAGTTAGCATTTTCCAAGATCTCCTACTGCACCTTTAAATGGCTAAACAGATGCAAGAAAGAAAAGACCAATCACAACAGAGTATGCAAATGAATGTAAAACAGAAGGCCAATCACAGTTCCGTATGCAAATATAACAATGGCATCATCAGCACTGTATTTGATAAACATTCTAACAATGCAAGTCAATGGGAGATTTTCCCTTTCAAAAGTTTTCAAAGTATACTGTTTATAAAATCAAACTAAAAATGAATAAATAAAATTCTCTTTATTATTATTAAAACTTTTTTTTTACTAGAAACTTTTTTACTTTTTCTAGAAACATGCCATCATAATACAAGACTGTTTAGGATGGTTGCCAAGGTGTTGCTATAGTGCTCTACGTGATTGGCCTTTGTATTGTTTTCTTTCATTGTCCTGTCAGTCACATGGTTTGCGATTACTCATCTGCACCTGGTTACCACTACAACCTTAGGGATTTGCATCCCATTAAAAATCATAACAAATGATTTTTGATTAACTGTGAACATTGATTGTAGAGCTTTTGGAATGCCAATTTTTAAATAAAATGCATTAAAAATAATTATATAAAAACTGACATGAACTATTATTAAAGTATTATTATTATAAAAATTAATAAATATACATTTTGAAATGCGTTATTTAAATAATATGCAAAAATATTAAGAACTTTTCATAATTTTATTGCATTCTATTAATAATCATAAAAATTGATTGCTAAATAATTTCACATTAATTGTAAAGCTTTTGGAAAGGTGATATTTAAAGGGGTCATATGATGCGATTTCAAGTTTTTCTTTCTCTTTGGAGTGTTACAAGCTGTTTGTGAATAGATAAGATCCCTAAAGTTGCAAAGACTAAAGTCTCAAAACCAAAGAGATATACTTTATCAAAGTTAAGACTCGTCCACGCCCTCCTAAAATGCCTCGTCTACGTCACGATGTGGTAAGATTTGCATAACGCCGCCCAAATGTTCACGCAAAGAAAGAAGGCGTAACTTTATTGTTGCTGCCACCGCCATGTTGTGAAGACGCTGTGTTTCGTTGCGAAAGCGAAACTACTTTGTTTGGTCTTCCAAAAGAGGACACGACTAAAAATCAGTGGTTAAGTTGTTTTTACAACATTGTTCCAGAACACTTCAACCCAAATATTCA